AGCATGCTCCGTTAGGAAGGGCCTGATCTTTCTGATGTTGTGCAATGCAAACCTGCAAGATCAAGCAGTTTTTGCAATGTGGTCTTTGAAAGTCAGCTGGTCATCAATGATCACACCAAGATTTCTGACTGAACTTGATGGGGTACCATTTACAGATTTTTACATCTTCAACACAACTCAAGCTACTGCTACTGTCAACTCAAGCTACTGTCATATATATCTGGCCCCCTGGTGGGTCCACATCATCCAATCAGATCCCCTCTTAAAAATTTGGACACCCCTGCTTTAACCTCACTAGAAGCTCATCAACACTCTGCTCAGTGTTTACTCCTCAAAAGGCCGGGAGTGAGCTGACACTGGCAACTTGTTCGTCTCATTGCAAGACTCATCAGCTGTGAAATTTGCACATGCTGTTCTACTCACTGGGCTTTTCACCATAGGCAAATGGCTTATGATGACAATAAAAGGCAACATGGAGGGTAAGGTAATGGTTGAGAACAATAACACCAGGAAGCACCGGGCAGGATTTAGTGGCTGGTGCTGGTCTCAGCGTGTCTGCCATGAAGGTGATGGACCGCAAGAGACACAAGCAGCTTGCTGTTCTCTGTTTCATCCCATTTTCATAATCATAAGGCGTCCTAGAGCTACAGCTGTGCCAATATTATGTAGGCCACATTGGGAGAAAACATGATTAAATTACAGAGGAAGTGCCCAGGTCTGGACTCTGCACGGCACTGAATGAGCATCTAAAAGGGAGACTTGAGAATCATGGAAATTGGATCAAATTTAGAAAAATGGACCCAATTCTATTTCCCTCCACCATTCCAACAATCCCTTGTCTGAGCTTCACGGGTAATAAAAAAGGGAAAAACACACACGCTTTGCAACAGTACACCACTTTAAAGACCGCATGTAAACAAAATGAAAGTTTTGTGGCTTTTAATCTATGTGTGTGTTCGCTTTGAGGCCATCTTTATGCTTTTATACTCCTAAACGCTGATGAAATTCACTTTTACACCACTAGTCAAAACTGTTCAAGTCTGATTGCATTGTCAAATCGGATTTTTCTGTGAATTTTTAATTTAAACATTTGAAATAAGTTATTTTAAATATTTATCTTATTTACTTACTTTTTTTTTTTACTTTAATCTTATTTCATTTCATATATTTTAATTATTGTACAACCTTTGTCTTCTGGGAATATTGGTGACTTATCCTGCACTACACAGATTTCTGTCCAATCAGATGCTTTCTAGAATGAGAATACCACTCGCAACCGAGTAGCAAGATAGCAGTATTTGCATTAGTGTTGATGTGTCACTTTGATTTGTGTCCAATTTAGACTTTAAATCTGACATATTGAGCATTGTTGCTCGTGTTGGCGACACAAGGTTTTCAATCACACAATTTTCTATCTACATATAATAATAATAAATAAATGTGTCCATTTCTTAATTAAAACTCTTAGTGTTGACGTGTTGTTGTTTCTACACAGATGACTTTATCAGTGAGGTGAAGACTGTGAGCTTGTTCTTCAAACCAACACAATAGTCTAATTTGCAACACTTGCACATGAATATTTGATCACATATAACCTTGTGATCATGCCTGCCTGTTTATTACTCTTCATCAGATGCTAAATTCCCTCTGATAAGCTTGTGTCACTGTTTAGATAATGGAATAGTTCAGAAATATGTTGTGTGGCATCTAATGCTGTTTATTTTCCTGTATTCAATATTTCCATTTTCTCAATTTATGTACAAGCATGTGTTTGGCTGCTTTTATTACAAAGCAACATCTTGGCTTAAACAGGAAGATATTTAACTAAGGTCACATCATCAATATTGCACAACCACACTAAACATTATGATGAAAGCATGCATATTTTTGGACTTAAACTGATATAATTTGGACTGTCAGCTAGGTCGCTATACTTTTTATTTATGTGGATATCAACATGCATGTTGCCTAATAGCCCATGTTAACCATGCTGGGCGTCTCCCACACAGCTTGAAAACTGGCATGATTAAATTCAGCAAACAGCAAAGCTGCCAGCCAGGTCTTTCTGACTAAACTGACTCAATAGTCAATAATTAAATGCTTCTCAAAGTCTTGGACCAAAACATGTTGTGTTTTTTCACACACATATTTCCATGGCTATGTTCACACAGCAAATCAGAAGTACTCAATTTGGATTTTATGCTCAAATCTGGGGGGGTGGAAAATATCCATACTAGGTAATGGTAGTCACTGCATGGCGTTCAATTCTGTGCCTGGTTTATAATGCACTTCAAACCATTTTCATCAGAATGCACTATGAGAAACACACAATCTGATCGAACACACAAACAGAGGCGTGGGGATGTGTTTGGCCTTTCCAAAAGACGGCTGCAAGATTTTCAATAGAGTGCTAAATTGGAACTTTAGCGGGTTTTGCAGCCATCAGGACATTGATTTGGCACAGCTGGACCGAGATGGTAGGCCTGCGTGCTGGAAGCAGGTGAGATGCAAGAACACGTACAGTAAGTAGAAAAATGGAAATGAATGCAAGGTTTAATTCTGCAGAAGCAGTGCTGCTTTGGTAATTAAAGAAAATGGCAAGCATGCTTCCATTAACGTAGAATGGTCTGAGTTAGTAGTCATGTGGTCGAAAAGGTCTATTAGTCTATTAAATCCATGAATCTATGAACCTGTCAGTCATTATTTTCTATAGGTTGTCATTTGAGTGAGTTCAATACACCCACAGCCTGTTTGTACAAAATGTAATTCTTGCTGTGATTTAAAAATTGCTTTCTGAGCATCTTACGATGTATTTAGTAAATTATAGAGTTAAATTCCACATTTTGGTCAGATCTCATCTCAGTGTAAGATAACTAAAAGGATGTACCGGATAAGATAAGGTAACATACAGTCGACAGCTTAGGTGTGTATCTCGACCCAAGGCTGTCGGCTCAGATTGACTACAGCACATTTCACAACACTGGGGTCACATTACAGTAACATCACTCCTGACTATGATGAGTCCCATGATGATATCAGAAGAATAACATCATGCCTGACAAAACATGACAGTGGGACATCTGTGTTGGAAAAACTCTGTTATCCCTCAGGCACACTGTAAAATAAAGTGTCGTATATTTTTGTTTTAATATTAATATTAATTTTATTTTGTTATGAATGTATAAATTTTGTTATGTGATTTTTGTCATTTTTATTAGTTTTTGTTTGTTATATTATTACCTAAATATATTACCATTTAGGTTGAATTCATTTTTTGTTTAATTTTATTTATTTGTTTAATTTTTATTTATTTCCAGTTAGTAATTGTAACTTATTTCAGTCTCATTTTTGTTCAGTTTAAGGTTTTCATCTAACGTTTATATTTGATTTCAGCTTTATTTCAATTAACAAAAATATTTTTATAATTTTAGTTAACAATAATAACTCTGTAAAGTCTGATATATCTATATGTCTAAAATTATTCTATATCTTTTTAAAATTTCATTTCTTTATTATTATTATTATTATTATTATTATTATTATTTTATTTTAACTATAACGCATGCAGTCTTTGTGATTTAAAATATTTGTACATTTAAAATTAATTTGTCACATTGCATGGCTATTTAAGTAAAAAAAAATCAAGAAAAAAAAAACTAATTTAAAAGGTTACAGCAACTAAAATTACTCTGCATATACTCTTTCTTATATATTCATTTATATTTTTACCTAAATTTTTAATCTTGAGGACACAATGTGTTGAGAATCATTTCTCATACACTTCATTCTGCTAAAAGGAATGTTACTTGTTTTATGGCAGCTGGGACTTGGTGTCAAGAACCGTCTGGCTGTTGTGTGCCAAGAACCGAATGATAAATGTTTGAGATTTGGTGATCAGGTGACAGTTTTCTTATTTCCCCTTTGCTCAGAGGGATCCTGGAATCTAATTCCAACATGGCAGCCTCAGAAGCAAAACTAGACCCAAGTGTTTGGAGAAATGTCATTTTTAATTAAATCCCAGGTTCTTTAAGATAAGCTTTAATTTCACCTGGGGCATCAAGCACGGAGCCAAAATACCATTATGTAAGTCTGTCACAGTCCATGATATCTAACCGCCTGCTACAGCGGTTTTGACTGACTTGTTCAATGTTAATAGGATGCATAATCACTTTAATTATGCTAGGTGATTCTCTCTCACAGTCAATGATATCTAACCGCCTGCTACAGCGGTTTTGACTGACTTGTTCAATGTTAATAGGATGCATAATCACTTTAATTATGCTAGGTGATTCTCTCTACATTTATGTTCATAAAATTATTTAATGACGACAGTGATAACAACTAAAACTAAATAATAATAGTATTGACAATTTTTTTTATTTATATGAAGGTGGATTATAAAACTGTCTCTCATGTTATGTATTTAATACATGTTGGTTATCCATGTCTCTGTCAGATTACTTGGCCTCGAGATTCTGAGGTGTATTTCCTGAAAAGTATTCTCTTTTAGACTTTCAGACGAGATCTTAACACGAATAAAAAAAAAATATTTCAACGCAATGTATGCAATTAGAAATGAGAGATTTCAATATGAACACACCAGTGCGATCTAAATTGTATAGCTGAATATGTTAACATTATGAAACAATTGTCTCATTTGTGTTATTTTATTTCTCAGAAGGAATTCCATCTGAGGAAAAAAAAATCTAAAAGACACCGAGATCTCCTAAGATTTAAAAGACGAACTCTGAGTAATATAACTTTCTTCTAGGTCGTGTTACATTTAATATTATATACTGCTTATGAGAAAATAGTATCTATTTACAGGCTAGGTGTGTATGGGTGTGCGTAATAACTGTATTATTTTAAATATTACAGGCTTACAGTAAATGGTGTTTGAGTTTACAGTAAGTGTGTATCTCATATATAGTGTGTGTTTACAGTAAGTGTGTGTGTGTGTGTGTGTGTATGTGTATGTGTATGTGTATACGTGTGTTTCCGCCTCCATTTTGTCACGGGTGTGTGTGTGTTTGTGTGTCTCAGCTAAAGCCAGTGAGGAGGAATAACACACAAACTCTTCAGCGGGTTCGTTTTTACACAGATCACCAGAAATGGACGGGTGAGCATTAAAAGCGCTCTTAATTTATGTGTAAAAAAATAATAATTTAAATGCGAAGTAGAAGAGTTTCACACTTGCTGGAATGCTAACGCTGCTAACACGCTAGCGCTGTAACACTAAAAACAACTGTTGTTTCATAATCTTTTTGTAACGGTTGTATTGTCTAGTATGAAATGCCAAGAGCAAGAAAAATCGCAAGAACTCAAATTAGTGAACAACAAAAATGAGAAAAAATAGCAAGCATGTGTTAGCAGGTTAGCCTCACTAGCTGTTTGTTTGCTCACGTTGTGCACACAAGATTAAGCTGGAGTTTAATCGAGCGAGTCTTTTAGCTAGTTTAATTTATAATTAATGTATTAATGTGCTAGAATATGATGTAATTCCCCAGTTGACCTCATCTAGGTTGTAATTATATGCTTTCACGTGAGCTTTTATACTATCATAAAATGTATAAAATAAAACTTCTCTCTCAGTGGTTATATAATGTGTCGAGTTGCATTCAAATAGGAGAAACTTCTAAATGTTGATATTAAATACAAGTTATGGTTAACCAACTAGCCTCAATCTGTACTCTAGGGCTGTGTGTAAAAACTGGTTGTTGCCTAGACAGTATTCTGGACACTATAGTCCCATAACCTGCCTAACGTTACCCAAATGGCATTGTTGGACATCATAATGCCGAAACCTAGTGATCTGCCTAACTCGTTTTCATTTTTGAGCATCTAAGTCCCATAACCTAGTGACCTGCATCCCTAAAACGGTATTTTAGCCTCAAAATCGATTTTGCTAGAAACATCCTTTTTGAACGTCGAAGCCTAGTGAGCAGCCTACCAGAAGAGTGGAATAAAGTAATGAAATACTGAAATGTTCATCAGCTTAATTTGTTGTCATTAAATAATGGAGGGGATTTAAAAAGATTCAGATTAAAGGATTTCTAGCCCTCCTTTTCTTTTTTAGTCCTGAACTTACATGTTAATTCCTGATGTTTAATATGTGTCTGATCAAATATCACTTTGTGTTTTCAACAGCATTGGGGATGTCGCAGTTGGTGTTAAGGTAAATACTGTTTTCAGTATCCTTTGTGCAGTTTGTATTCTGGATGATGGATGGATAGGTAGTTACTAAAGCAAACTCATGAAGGATTTTGCAGTGCAATAGCAACCTGACAAAGGCAGCACAGCACAACATGCATTACTATGAATATGATCATAATGTTGTGGAATTTAGTTTTTAATAGATGTCCGCCTGTTGCAGTGGTGAGACCAAGTGGAAACCACAACAGAAATTTGACCCCATAGATACCAGAACAGTGTGGTAAACCAGAGTTTTTTTTATGATAAAACATTGAATAATTACTCTGAGATAGGGCTGTCTCGGTTACAAAATTGGCATGTGATTAATTGCTATACAAATAATTGCTTTTTACAGTTAGAAAGTATCAGATTTGCTATTAAGCTTAATACAGATGCACCTGTAAAAGCAGTATATTCAAGTTGAACTTGGAATGTTTATTTTAAGGCTTTGTACATGAATATTGAACATAAATATGATTAATTCAAAATTATATAATGCAAAAATGTAAAATATTACTTTCTTCTATTCATGTTATATGGAACCAGCCACCTTAAATATTGCATTTTGGCAATATAATATTGATGATGATGATGATGATGATTAAATATTGGAATATTATGCAATAGTATTTCCACCCTAAATTGGTCACTTTAACATGTCTTTTTTTAAGGCAGGCTGATTAAACCCATGAGTCATTAACCTTGTAAATGTTTCTAAAATATGACATTATGTAGGATGATGATAAATGAAAGTGAATTTTGAGCCCTCACACTATGTGCATTTCATGCCATATTCGCTTAAATTTGCCTTGTTTTAACGGCAGTGTCTGGTTGGAATTAAAAATTAACAGTAATTGTGATCAGGTCTCAACACTATGGATTTTTTCTAGTGGTCCGGTCGAACCAGTGGTTCAAATTTTTACTTGCCCTGCCAATATTTTCACTGGCTCTGCCACAAAAAAATAAAATAGTTGCTGTTATTATTGTTTTTGACCCATGTTATCTTTTATTCTAATAAATAAGCTTACATGGCACCAACATTTTAGATGCCAATTAAATTTTACAATTCTCGATTCTAATTTTGATACCACACTAAACACTACAAGCCTAACGAATAAAAAGTTAAATTATTATTAAAGACAAATGAACAGTCATTAAATAAGAAAACATGAACCAATTACAAGCAACAGCACAAATAAATATATAGAACAAAGATACATATGAAATTATACTTTAGAAAGAACATCAGACGGACTGAATGAGAAGCAAATTCACTCTCTGACAGTAGGTGGCGCTTATGGAACAGCAGCGATACAGTATTTCCTTGGTTATCGCTGTACAGAAAGCAGCGCAGCGCTTATTAACACTACTTTAAATGCCTCTTTAAAGGCCTCTGTTAACTAGGGGTGCTCCGATTGATCGGCTACCGATCACTATCGGCTGATAATCACGTTGGGATGATCGATCGGCGGTCTCTTAAAGGCCGATCTCAAAAAACCGATCTCAAGCTGATGACGCTGCCGTGAGAGGTTTGGCACGACATGCAGCGGCACCGCGTCAGTATGTATCATGATGAATGATTTCTCAGACATGCATTTTTAGTTGTTTCTTTTTCTCTGAATGGGTTTTCATGTACTCAAACCAAGATTATTCACTTTAAAATGTATAAATCCAACCTGGTCTCATGGAAAAATGTAACTGTTTCATGATTTTGTATGAATTTGTACAATGTGATTTGGTAAATGATTTGGGTACTTTGTGATTTTCAAATGTTAGTGGAAAAAAGTCACCACAAGACCACGTGTTACCTGAAAAAAATATGATGGCCCAGAAAAGCGACGTTACGTCTTGTAAAACATCTAGTATGATTTGTTAGCAGATGCCAGTTTGTTAAATGTGTTGGTTTACACACAAAGAAATGTGTAAGCTTTTAATAAGTCCAATAATAAAATGATTAATTTACTTAACATGTTAAATTTGATTTACAGAACTTTTTGTGCTGTTTTCTATCAGTTTGGACTTGAATAAAGAGAGAAAACTTGCACTTAACCTTTTCACAGGCATTTTGTTTTCATAGTTAGACAGATATCGTAATGTATCGTTATAGGATTGTCTAGCAATATATCAATTATCGCAGAATCGCTGTATTCGTGATATTATCGTATCGTTAGCCATGTATCGTGATTCGTATCATATCGTCAGGTACCCTGCAATTCCCACCCCTAGCCAAGACGGGTATTTTGAGATACTTTTGTATGTTTTTGTCCGTCCAAGCGCAAGAAGACGCTGAAAGAATCTTAATTCGGGGCTCGGGCGTTGTCACACAGAACACAGTGCGTGAGTACTGCATGTAGTTGTCTTTCGCGTCTTGCTTGAATGCTTTAAAATCGCTTGTATTTTTAAATGAGCAAGGCTTAAAAACACGTGCAAATGAAATGATTCGAGACAATGCAGCAGTGTCCCGATCGTGCCAGTGACAAATTTATCAATTGTCCCAAGCGTCTTTCACGCTGGTTGGCCCCTTATTGTCAAGGCCTGGTGATTATCTCAGACCTACACAGTGATAGCCAATGCTGCTACTATCTCACTCTTTCTTATTCTTGGTTCATCCAAACATTGGCAAACTTTGAATAGTCACCATTAACAGCCAGAATGGGATCTACAACCACTTATTTTTATTTAAGATATTCACCATTCCCTAGCAAACGTTTTTTGGTGGTAGACTATTAATACTGACCTTAATGAATTAGTGTCACTGAAAGTTAAAAGGATTATGTCGGCTGGCATCAGACATTGTTTATATGTTACTATTCGTATGATTTATCCAGTTTTGTCTTAAATTTTTGGTGTCCTGTTGGACTTGTAAGCTATAGGGTAGAGTATGTCTTTGCCAATTTCACTGTCACCTCATTCAAAAATACAATATATGCTTTTTTTAGTATTGCTGTCAGGAACATAATTTGCCTTCACATGGTTTAGCATTTATTTCCCCTCTTTTAAAAAAAAACTTATTTGCATATTGTGTGGCGTCAAAGCCACATGAAAAAAGACAAAGAAGCCTAGGGTGATGCAAACATAATTTGTTTTTGAATGGACAAAGAATTGCCAAGCCATTAAAGTGCATTATTGGATATTATGTGGCTGATTCTTTGTCGTTGAAAGAAAAGTGTTGTGTGGAAATGTAGAATTGTCCCTTATATATTAGAAACAGGCCTGTTACAGGTCTCCATCTCCGCTTTTCATAAAATTAGACTGGTAGTAATTTAATGGGGGCCGTTTATGTCCAGGATAGTTAGAGAAGAACTTGTTCTTTTCAAGAGATGCCTTCTGAACACAGGCCTTTTAACTCAGTTTGTTTGCCAACAACAGAATTTTCCTCCCTGGAAAACAATGTTAGCCGGTCTTTCTGGGAAAGCAGGTGGAAAAAGAAGCATTTGATCTTATTGCTTTAAAGTCCTGCTTTTTTTTTTTTTTCTTCCGTTCTAATCAGTTTTGATGCTGAGGCTTGTCTGTTAAGACCTTGCCATCTCTTAATGCATTCTTCTGCTTTCGGTCGTTTTGATGTGAAACTTCACCATTCTCTTGATTGTTTGTAGTGTCGATGCCCAGAAGGCATGCTCGGCGGCGAGTTTATTGGCGCCGTAAAAGCAGCGTCCATAAAGAACGATTCGGTGGAATTTTTGGAAGGCACGAACCTGAGATGATCCTATTAGGAAGTTTGGTTTGTGCCATTCGCCATTTGCCTGCTGTCCCATCCGTCACTTTTAGCTGCACTTCAAGCAGCGGCCTGATCACGCCGGGGCCCTTCGGGAACGTGGGCAGCTCAGGATGAGATGACAGCATCTGACGTCTTAGACTCAACAAGATTAAAGCAACAATCTAGAAGAATAAGGCGCTGTGGCAGAAGCGTGTGGACATGTGCTTTATGTGCTGTGATTCCTTCAGCTGTCCGCAGAGAGCTGTATTTCATTGTTTGGTTGAGAGGATTGTGAAAGGAGAACATCTTTATTGGACGGCGGATTTTATTTTTCTCTTTGTGTCTCTCCGCAGAGAGGATCAGATGAGCTGCTGTCCGGCAGCATGTATAACAGCCCCAGTTCTGGGCTGAGCACTGTAAGTGGTAAGTGTTCCTGACTTCCCCCCCTTTCCAAAACATGCAGTTTTCTTGACCATGAACAGCATTAAAATAATGAAATTATAACAGATGGTTCAGTGTGATATCTGATCTGAGAAGATCCTATCTGGGAATAACCTTACTCTTTCCTGTAGGTGGGCACCCACTCTTATAAGCATGTGACCGGAATTGCAATTATATGCACTCTGCATCTTATTACAGCTTCTCCAACAATAGATTTCAATATCCCATTCAGTAGAGGAATGACTTTACCCAATTAAAGGAAGCTTTGTTTCTTGAGTTCTTTCTATTAAGGATATCAATTGGAAATGTAGTGTGAAATGTAATAGAAGAGAAACTTAAATACAGTTTAGACACACTTTCAGACCTGGCTGAGTATTTAAATCTGCGTCTTTTATCCTGATGTTGGCATTATGTTTTAAGATTTTTCCTTTAGAAATGTATTCTCTTTATCCCCAGTATAATGTCCTCTTTCTGTCCACTTTTGGCAGATACGACATCCAACGGCAGTGACAGCAAAAAACTTAGAGTTGAAGACAGAGTCGGCGATGCCCCACCATCCCGCGTTCTTCACATTAGAAAGTTACCCAACGATGTCTCGGAAACAGAGATCATTGCCCTGGGGCTTCCGTTCGGAAAGGTCACCAATATCCTCACACTGAAAGGCAAAAACCAGGTGCGTGGGCAAGCTGAAATGTTTTCAATTTCACTTTTGTCGGAGTTAGTGAGTCTTGAAAGAGATTTGCTATTTCTGGTCCGACTAACAGTTTTGAGTTCACTGAGTTCATCTTACCTCGTTACTGAAATCGTCTTTGTCTTAGGCGTTTCTGGAGCTCAGCACAGAGGAAGCTGCCATGACAATGGTCAATTATTACTCAGCTGTGACGCCTCACATCCGTAGCATGCCGGTCTACATACAGTACTCCAATCACAAAGAACTGAAGACGATTTGGTAAATGATTTGGGTACTTTGTGATTTTCAAATGTTAGTGGAAAAAAGTCACCACAAGACCACGTGTTACCTGAAAAAAATATGATGGCCCAGAAAAGCGACGTTACGTCTTGTAAAACATCTAGTATGATTTGTTAGCAGATGCCAGTTTGTTAAATGTGTTGGTTTACACACAAAGAAATGTGTAAGCTTTTAATAAGTCCAATAATAAAATGATTAATTTACTTAACATGTTAAATTTGATTTACAGAACTTTTTGTGCTGTTTTCTATCAGTTTGGACTTGAATAAAGAGAGAAAACTTGCACTTAACCTTTTCACAGGCATTTTGTTTTCATAGTTAGACAGATATCGTAATGTATCGTTATAGGATTGTCTAGCAATATATCAATTATCGCAGAATCGCTGTATTCGTGATATTATCGTATCGTTAGCCATGTATCGTGATTCGTATCATATCGTCAGGTACCCTGCAATTCCCACCCCTAGCCAAGACGGGTATTTTGAGATACTTTTGTATGTTTTTGTCCGTCCAAGCGCAAGAAGACGCTGAAAGAATCTTAATTCGGGGCTCGGGCGTTGTCACACAGAACACAGTGCGTGAGTACTGCATGTAGTTGTCTTTCGCGTCTTGCTTGAATGCTTTAAAATCGCTTGTATTTTTAAATGAGCAAGGCTTAAAAACACGTGCAAATGAAATGATTCGAGACAATGCAGCAGTGTCCCGATCGTGGCAGTGACAAATTTATCAATTGTCCCAAGCGTCTTTCACGCTGGTTGGCCCCTTATTGTCAAGGCCTGGTGATTATCTCAGACCTACACAGTGATAGCCAATGCTGCTACTATCTCACTCTTTCTTATTCTTGGTTCATCCAAACATTGGCAAACTTTGAATAGTCACCATTAACAGCCAGAATGGGATCTACAACCACTTATTTTTATTTAAGATATTCACCATTCCCTAGCAAACGTTTTTTGGTGGTAGACTATTAATACTGACCTTAATGAATTAGTGTCACTGAAAGTTAAAAGGATTATGTCGGCTGGCATCAGACATTGTTTATATGTTACTATTCGTATGATTTATCCAGTTTTGTCTTAAATTTTTGGTGTCCTGTTGGACTTGTAAGCTATAGGGTAGAGTATGTCTTTGCCAATTTCACTGTCACCTCATTCAAAAATACAATATATGCTTTTTTTAGTATTGCTGTCAGGAACATAATTTGCCTTCACATGGTTTAGCATTTATTTCCCCTCTTTTAAAAAAAAACTTATTTGCATATTGTGTGGCGTCAAAGCCACATGAAAAAAGACAAAGAAGCCTAGGGTGATGCAAACATAATTTGTTTTTGAATGGACAAAGAATTGCCAAGCCATTAAAGTGCATTATTGGATATTATGTGGCTGATTCTTTGTCGTTGAAAGAAAAGTGTTGTGTGGAAATGTAGAATTGTCCCTTATATATTAGAAACAGGCCTGTTACAGGTCTCCATCTCCGCTTTTCATAAAATTAGACTGGTAGTAATTTAATGGGGGCCGTTTATGTCCAGGATAGTTAGAGAAGAACTTGTTCTTTTCAAGAGATGCCTTCTGAACACAGGCCTTTTAACTCAGTTTGTTTGCCAACAACAGAATTTTCCTCCCTGGAAAACAATGTTAGCCGGTCTTTCTGGGAAAGCAGGTGGAAAAAGAAGCATTTGATCTTATTGCTTTAAAGTCCTGCTTTTTTTTTTCTTCCGTTCTAATCAGTTTTGATGCTGAGGCTTGTCTGTTAAGACCTTGCCATCTCTTAATGCATTCTTCTGCTTTCGGTCGTTTTGATGTGAAACTTCACCATTCTCTTGATTGTTTGTAGTGTCGATGCCCAGAAGGCAGCAGCGGCGGCGGGTTTATTGGCGCCGTAAAAGCATCGTCCATAAAGGACAATTCGGTGGAGTTTTTGGAAGGCACGAACCTGAGATGATCCTATTAGGAAGTTTGGTTTGTGCCATTCGCCATTTGCCTGCTGTCCCATCCGTCACTTTTAGCTGCACTTCAAGCAGCGGCCTGATCACGCCGGGGCCCTTCGGGAACGTGGGCAGCTCAGGATGAGATGACAGCGTCTGACATCTTAGACTCAACAAGATTAAAGCAACAATCTAGAAAAATAAGGCAGAAAGGCAGAAGCGTGTGGACGTGTGTTTTATGTGACTTGATTCCTTAAGCTGTCCACATTGTTTGGTTGAGGGGATTGTGAAAGGAGAACATCTTTATTGGAGGGTGGGATTTTATTTTTCTCTTTGTGTGTCTCCGCAGAGAGGATCAGATGAGCTGCTGTCCGGCAGCATGTATAACAGCCCCAGTTCTGGGCTGAGCACTGTAAGTGGTAAGTGTTCCTGACTTCCCCCCCTTTCCAAAACATGCAGTTTTCTTGACCATGAACAGCATTAAAATAATGAAATTATAACAGATGGTTCAGTGTGATATCTGATCTGAGAAGATCCTATCTGGGAATAACCTTACTCTTTCCTGTAGGTGGGCACCCACTCTTATAAGCATGTGACCGGAATTGCAATTATATGCACTCTGCATCTTATTACAGCTTCTCCAACAATAGATTTCTCCATTCAGTAGAGGAATGACTTTACCCAATTAAAGGAAGCTTTGTTTCTTGAGTTCTTTCTATTAAGGATATCAATTGGAAATGTAGTGTGAAATGTAATAGAAGAGAAACTTAAATACAGTTTAGACACACTTTCAGACCTGGCTGAGTATTTAAATCTGCGTCTTTTATCCTGATGTTGGCATTATGTTTTAAGATTTTTCCTTTAGAAATGTATTCTCTTTATCCCCAGTATAATGTCCTCTTTCTGTCCACTTTTGGCAGATACGACATCCAACGGCAGTGACAGCAAAAAACTTAGAGTTGAAGACAGAGTCGGCGATGCCCCACCATCCCGCGTTCTTCACATTAGAAAGTTACCCAACGATGTCTCGGAAACAGAGATCATTGCCCTGGGGCTTCCGTTCGGAAAGGTCACCAATATCCTCACACTGAAAGGCAAAAACCAGGTGCGTGGGCAAGCTGAAATGTTTTCAATTTCACTTTTGTCGGAGTTAGTGAGTCTTGAAAGAGATTTGCTATTTCTGGTCCGACTAACAGTTTTGAGTTCACTGAGTTCATCTTACCTCGTTACTGAAATCGTCTTTGTCTTAGGCGTTTCTGGAGCTCAGCACAGAGGAAGCTGCCATGACAATGGTCAATTATTACTCAGCTGTGACGCCTCACATCCGTAGCATGCCGGTCTACATACAGTACTCCAATCACAAAGAACTGAAGACTGACAATTCAAACCAGGTAACAAATTACCTAACTTTTCTCGAAAATGTAAGTATTTCAAGGGACAGCCAATCAGAATGTATTTGATCTTTAAAATCCAACTATGCTGACCAGCCATTTTGGATAAGTGAGATTTTGTTTTGGGCAGAACAGTCAATATACATTTTCTGCTATTTATAGTGTGCATGGAAACTGTTGCACGGCCTTTTAAATTTACACTGTTCAAAGGTTTAGGGTCTGTAAGGTTTTTAAAATGTTTTTTTAAAGAATATGTTATGCTCACCAAGACTGGATTTATTTGATAAGAAATACAGTAACAACAGTAATTATGTGAAATATTATTAAAAATTTCCTATTTTAATATATTTTAAAATGCACTTTATTCCTGTGATTACAAAGCTGAATTTTCAGCAGCCATTTCTCCATTCTTCAGTAATGATCCTTCAGAAATCATTCTAATATGCTGATTTGGTGCTCAAGAAACATTTCTTATTATTTTCAATTTTGAAAACTGATGTGCTGCTTAATATTTTTGTGGAAAAATTCTTAAACGGGTCATCGGATGCAAAATTCACTTTTGTTGTTGTTTGAACCTAAATGTGTGTTGGAAGTGTATGTACACATCCACCCTATAATGATAAAAATCCACCCAGTGTTTTTTTTTTTAAATCCCTATTTTAAAATCCACTTTCTCAAATGAGGCAGTTCTGAGATTCTTGTCAGAATGACGTAGTTCTGCACAGGCCGCTCCCACGATAGTTGATTGACAAGGCCGTCTTACCTTAGACCCGCCCTGAGTGAGCTGTCATCAGTCCGCCATTGTGTCGACTCCGGTGCAGGGGAAGACAAGAATGTCTCTGATTAAGAGATTGAGATGTTTTGTTGCTGGATGTAATAATGAACATAGCAGTCATTTACTCCCGACATCTGAGCCGCTGAAGACGCAGAGGATTTACGTTACTTTCATTTTTGAAGGGAATGCGCAGATCCCGATCGACCTAAATGCGTCTGTGTTCGCGCGAATCATTCATGATCCAGCTTCATCTACAGAAGAAGTCAGTATAAGGGTTTTTGAATGAATCTTTGCAAATCGCCTTTCCTAATAAGTGCTAGTTAGCCAGTTTCGCGGCTGAAGTTTACAGTCTGCTCGTCATTCCACGGAAGAGAGGGGCGGGGTCAGCAGAGCTCTTTAGCATTTAAAGCAACGTACTAGAACGGTGTGCTGAAAACAGAGCTTATTTTAACAGGGTAAAAAGGGTGTTTTTTACACTACCATTGGGAAATTTTAACCAAAGTATGTTATAGACTTTTCATTATGGCCCCTAAAGAATCATATTAACTTGTGGAAGATGG